GAGAAGGAGGAATAGGAGGAATAGGAAATAGGAGGAGGAGGGAGGAGGAGGAGGAGGAGGAGGAGGAGGGAGAGGGAGGGAGGAGGGAGAGGGAGGAGGGAGGGAGGCATGGAGGCAGGGGAGGCATGGAGGCAGAGAGGAGGGGAGGCAGGGAGGGAGGGAGGCAGGCAGGGAGGGAGGCAGGGAAGGAAAGAGAGAGGGAGGGGAGGGGAGGAGCCCTGGGGTGCGCTCTGCCGCGACCTTCGAGGGCGGGCGGGGCGGGCGGGGCGGACGGGGCGAGAAGGCGCGCGTGCCCCGGGGCGCCCCGCGGCCGACGCGCTGGTGACGGGATGCGGGGCGAAGCGGGAGGAAGAGGGTGACCAGGACGGAGGAGGAGGAGGAGGAGGAGGAGGAGGAGGAGGAGGAGGAGGAGGAGGAGGAGTAGGAGGAGGAGGAGGAGGAGGAGGAGGACGAGGAGGAGGAGGAGGAGGAGGAAAACGAGTACCAGGACGGAGGAGGACCAGGACGGAGGGGGAGGAGGAGGAAGAGGAAGAGCAAGAGAAGGAGGACTAGGAGGAGGAGGAGGACGAGGATGACAAGGGAGGAGGAGGAGGAGGAGGAAAGGAGGAGGACGAGGAGGAGGACGATTCGTGTGAGCAGGATGAGGAAGTTTGGAGTATGAGAACGGAGGAAGCAGGAGGATGGGGAGGAGGAAGGATGATGAGGATGGAGGACGAGGATGATACGGGAGGAGGAGGATAAGGAGGAGGAAGAAGAACAGCACGGAAAGGGAGGAGAAGGAGAGGGAGGAGGGAGGACGATGGAGGAGGGGTAGGGGGATGTGGCATGAACGCCACACATTCGGCAGTACATCACCCCCCTGGCCCCTGGACACCTACAATCTGTGGGAGGCAGCACCCTTAGGATACGACGTGCGCCTGAGGGGGTCAGCCGAAAAAACTTTAGACCCGAGGCAGGGCCCAGGACGAAAGGCACGCGCGTGGCCTCGGAAAGAAACCTTGCGATCGCAAGTCGGCGACAACGTGCAGCGCTTGGCAAGACCATGGGCAAATCGCCGCAACCCATCACGTCTCACGGAATAGGAGGGAAGCTGAATCGGGCTGGGACGTGGGCGGCCAAGCCTTATAGACTCGCGACATGGGTTTCCCTGGACAACCTCTCCATGAACAGAACGCAACCTATCCAGGGTGCCTGGGGTGAGGCGATCAACATGCCCTGTGATACCAGCTTGCTCTCAAGTGGGGCTGCATTTGTCAACTGCCCAGCTCGCGCAATCGTCGCCCATGCAATTCAAGAAATACTCTTCATCTCCGATGGCGACGTGGGCCCTCTGATGGGCCGTCGAATAACTCTGTGTCCATAAAGGGGGAAGATGATGCGGACTGCGGGGGATCGAGGTGGGGACGGGAAGAGGTGTGCGGGTCCATAAGACTGATGGGGGGCGTGGGGAGGGGAGGAAGGGACGAGGTTGCGGACAGCTGAGGATCGAGGTTCGATTATTTCGGACTTGTTTTGCCCTGAAGAGAGGATGGTGAATGATGATGATGACGATGCTGATGCTGCTGATGATGATGACGGCGATGATCATGCTGATCGTGCTGTTGAAGATGATGCTGCTGTTGCTGCTATTGCTGCTTGTGATGACGATGCTGCTGATGAGGATGCTGCTGGTGATGATGATGATGATGATGGTGACGACGATGAGGATGATGACAATATCGGTAATGATGCTGTTGCTGATGATGATGATGATGATGATGATGATGATGATGATGATTGTGATGATGATGATGACGATGATGATGATGATGATGATGATGATGATGATGATGCTGATGCTGATGATGATGATGATGATGATGATGATGATGATGATGATGATGATGATGATGTCGATGCTGCTTACAATGATGGATATGATGCTGAGGATGTTCGGAATGCTGATGGCGCTGCTGATGATGATGCTGATGCTGATGATGCTGATGATGATGCTGCTGATAATGATGTTTATGATTGTGATGGCTGGTGATGATGATGCAGATGACGATGATGGTGCTTTTGAGTATGATGATGGTGCTGCTGCTGTTGCTCCTGCTGATGGTAATGATCATGATCATGCTAACGATGATGATGTCGAATGTGATGATGATGCCGCTGCTGATGGTGATGGTGATGCTGATGGCGAATGTGATGATGACGCTGACGATCGTGAGGATGAGGGTGGTAAGGAGGAGGAGGAGGAGGAGGAGGAGGAGGAGGAGGAGGAGGAGGAGGAGGAGGAGGAGGAAGAGGAGGGGCAAGATGGGGAGGAGGGACAGGAGGGAGAGGGAGCATGAGGAGAGATGAATGGACCTGCCCCATACCCTCATGCTTCAGGTAATTAGGGGGGGAACACGGAAGAGGTGGTGGAGGAGGATTGCGAATTCACGCGTTACTGGGCGGGGTGAGCTTTCGGGCCCTAATTCGCGAGGAATGGGCGATTGGGGGTCGATTTGTCCCCCCCCCCTGGGCGAGAGGAGGCTCACGAGCAGGAGAACGACGCGGGCGAGGAGCACCGCGAGGAGCTCCTTCTGGTCGGCTCGTCGCCAGGTGGAATTCTTGGGCGGCGCGCGCAAAAAGGGGCTAATGGGGGGGGGGGGGAAGCTTCTTAGAGAGAGAAGCTGCTTCTTAGGAGGCGCCGGCCCTACATCTCTAGATGAGGCCCGCGCCTTCCGAGAAGCAGGGGCTGCTTCCAAGAAGCCTGCCCCCCCTCCCCCATTAGCCCCCTTCCCCCTCCCCCCCTCGCCCCCCTTCTGCGCGTGGCGGACACGCTCGATCCTGAACGCTCGACCCTCGCCCCTGGATCCTGGCCCCTCCATCTTCGAAAGAGCGTGTTCTACCGCTGCTGGCGGAAAACCGGGGGGGCTCACTACCGGTTCGAACCCCTCCCCCCCCTTCCCCCCCCCCCTCCGGAAAACCGGGGGGGGTCACTATACCGGTCGAACCCCTCCCCCCCCCCCCAGTTCATCATGAAAAGGGGGGGGGGGTCACTACCGGTTCGAACCTCCCCCCCCCCCCCCCTCGGATCCGGAAAACCGGGGGGGTCACTACCGGTTCGAACCCCCCCCCCCTCGAAAAACGAGTGGGGGTGCGGACAGTGGTGGGGACGGTGTTGGTGGGGACAGTGGTGAGGGGATAGCGGGACAGTGGTGGGGACAGTGGGACAGTGGGACAGTGGTGGGGACGGTAGTGGTGGGGACAGTGGTGGGGACAATGGTGGGAACAGGGGGGACAGTGGACAGTGGTGGTGACGGTGGTGGTGGGGACAGTGGTGTGGGGACAATGGGAATGAGGTGGAAACAGTGGGACAGTGGAGGGTACAATGGTGGTGGGGACAGTGGTGAAGGCGGTGGCGAGGACGGCGGTGGGACAATGGGACAGAGGTACAGTGGGGACAGTGGTGGGGACAGTGGGGACAGTGGTGGGAACAGTGGGACAGCTCAGTGGGACAGCGGAGGAGTCAGTGGGACAGTGGGGACAGTGGGGATAGTCGGGCAGTGGTTGGGGCCGTGGAGACAGTGGGGAGAGTGGAACCGTGGTGGGAACAGTTCTGGGGACAGCGGGGACAGTGCGACAGTGGTGGGGCCACTGGTGGGGACAGTAGGGGCGGTGGTGGAACCAGTGGGGACAGCGGTGGTGAGGACAGTGGTGCTGGGAACACCAGTGGGGGATGTGATGCGGACGGTGGTGGGGACCGGGAGTCGTTTGCTGGCGGTGAGTAGGGGGGAGGGGGGGGGGGGGTTCGAACCGGTAGTGACCCCCCCCGGTTTTCCGGATCCGGAGGGGGGGGGGGGGGAGGAGGGTTCGAACCGGGTAGTGACCCCCCCCCGGTTTTCGCGCGGGAGAGGGGGGGGGGAAGGGGTTAGGGGAGGGGGGGGTGGGTTTTGCGGGGGAAGGGGGGGGTGGGGGGGGGAAGGGTTCCCGCAGGGGGGGGGGGGGGATTTTCGGAGGGGGGGGGGGGGCGACCCCGGGGTCCAGAGGAAAAGGTTGGCAATTTTCCACAGTAAAGCGGCGGTGGATCACGCTCTCTCCCATCTTCGAGCCTCGACCCTCCACCCTCGACCCTCGACCCCTCCATCCCCGGACTGCGGCCCTCGACCCGCCGCCCTCGGTCCTCGTCCCTCGACCCTGAGCCCTCCGCCCTGGTCCCTGCACCCCGACCCCCCGATCCTCGCCCCGCGATCCTGGTCCGTCAGTCTTCGATCCTGGTCCCTCGGTCCTGGCCCCCTTGCCGCGCGTGGCCGACGACGGCGGCAGGGCATCCCAGAGCAGCGAGGAGCGCCCCCGCCTCGGCGCCGAAGCTGCTCTCTACACGGGCCGCCGTGCGGGCAGCCCCCGCCGCGGGCCCTCCGCCGTGCGCGACGGCCAGGGCCTGCTTTTTGTGTGTCGCCTCGTCGCCAGTGTAGCTTTAGGTCGGGCATGTCCTCCTGCAGGCGGATTTTGGGCGAAAAAAGACAAAGTGTCAAAGAGATCTTCCCAACTGGTTAACAAATAATAGAAAAGTCGTCCCCAGAGTATTTTTGGACTATTTTTGGGTATTCCTCCTGTAGAGGGACGTGTCCAAATTAACTTTGGGTCGGGCATGTCCTCATACAGGCGGATTCTGGGCGAAATTTCAAACATAGTCGAACGTACGCAACGATAGTCCCAACATCGTCCCCCGACTATTTTTTAAAACTATTTTGGAATATTCCCTCCTGTAGGGGGACCGGCCCGACTTCAGTGCAGCTCGCAGGCGTCGCATGCTCCCCCCGCCTCCTCCTCCTCTCCTCCCCCTCCTCCTCCTCCCTCCTCATTCCTCCTCCTCCTCTCCCTCCTCCCCTCCTCCTCCTCCCCCTCCCCCTCCTCCTATCCCACTCCTCTCCCTCCCTCCCTCCCTCCCCCTCCTCCTCCTCTCCCTCCCCTCCCTCCAATCCCTCCCCTCTTCTCCTCCTCCTCCTCTCTCTCTCCTCCTCCTCCGCTTTTCCGTCGGCTCGTCGCCAGTGTAGCTCGCAGGCGTCGGCGTGCTCCCCCGGGGCTCCCTCTTTGGGCAGCCCGGGGGGGGGGGCGGAGAGAGAGCCCGCCGAGAGGTCCGGCGGGGCAGCCTGGGGGGGAGGCTCGTCTCGAGGCCCAGCGGAGGAGGAGGAGGAGGAGGAGGAGGAGGAGGAGGAGGAGGAGGAGGAGGAGGTGGAGGAGAAGGATGGGCAGGGGGAGGAGGAGGAAGAGGAGGAGGAGGAGGAGGAGGAGAAGGAGGAAGAGGAAGGAAGAGGAGGAGGGAGGGAGGAAAGGGAGGAGGAGGAGGAGGAGGAGGAGGAAGGCTGTATGCGACTTGACTTCAATCGGCGTTCCCTCATGGTGCCAAAAGATGGCTGCCCTGCGCTCCCGCAGGCCTCTCGCAGCTCGAGGCCCGGACCTCCGAAGCCTTGGCGGCAAGCAGGGCCGTGCTTTCTGCTTCGGCGTGTCGATCAGGTCAGGCCTGCCCCCCCCCCCTACAGGGGGTCTTGGACGAAGAATAAGAGACATCTCAACATAGCAAACAAATGTTCAAATGATGACTTTAAAATCGTCCCCGCACTATATTTTGACCGTTTTTGAAAATTCATCCTGTAGAGGGACATGTCCGACGGAACGTTTCGACAGTAGGCGGAAGGGGGGGGTGTCGGGCTCCGGACCTCTGCTTGGTGCGACTGCTCGCAGCAGTGCGTCCGATGGGGGAGACCCCCCCTACCCGAAACAGGCGCCCAAAACAGCCAAGATCTGCTCCATGGGGGGGGGGGGGGGGAGGGAGGGGTTCGAGGGCCGGCGTCGATCGGCAAAACAATTGATAACACACACGACCACCAGGGGGGGAACGTCGGCGGCGAGCGAGGGGCGCTTCGAGGCTCGAGGCTCTCAAGAGTGCCCGCCTGCTCTGGGCGGTTGTCCTGCCCCGGGATGCGCCCCAGCGGCCGCGCCCCGCCGAGGAGCGCCTCCCGGGGTGCCCGGATCGGCCCATAGCGGCCGCCGGAGGCCCGAGCGAGGACCCGAAAACTGAACTCGGCGGCGCGCCGAGGGGGACTGAGGAGGAGGACGGCTTCTCAGCAGGCGGCGGGGCTTCTCAGAAGCCCTCGCGCCCTCTGAAGAAATGTCTGCGCCTTCGGGAGGACAACTTCTCAGAGGGCCGGAGGCCGTCCGGGCCTTCCGAGAAGGCCCCGCCTCTCACTGCCCCCCTGATTCGGCACCGATGGCTGATCTGTCGGAAACACATCCTTACGATTTTTCCCTTTCTGTCGTTTTCTAGTGGGGCGTGCTCGGGCCCCCGGGCTATCAGCTGGGTGACTAGGGGAACAAAAAGTGACATAAACATGAAAACTCGGAGGTCCGGCGGATTTCTCGGATCGGCGCTGGACCCCCCTCCCTGGCGCGCGGAGCGCGCCAGGGGCGGCGCCAGAGGCGCCGCTGGGGAGCCCCAGCGCCGATCCGAGAAATCCGCGCGGACCTCAGAATTTGTATGTTCATGTAACTTTTTGTTCCCCTAGTCACCCAGCTGACCAGCTGACCGAACCCGGCTGGTCCAATCCTGGGCCCAGGAGCAGACGAGCGGCACCTGCGCCCGTCTGGCCAGGGAGGCGAACGCACCGACCCCTGGACCCAGGATCCTCCCCCTCCTCCTCCTCCTCCTCCTCCTCCTGCTCCTCCTCCTCCTCCTGCTCCTCCTCCTCCTCCTCCTGCTCTTCCTCCTCCTGCTCCTCCTGGCCATTTCCAGGTCTCGAATATTTGTCGGTGATGTCGCGCCTCCTCCTCCTCCTCCTCCTCCTCCTGCTCTTCCTCCTCCTGCTCCTCCTGGCATATCCAGGTGTCGAACCTTTGTGGCAGCGCTCTTGGAAGCGGCGCAACTGTCACGAGCCAGGATTGCATGGCACCAACGAACCGCCGTGATGTCGCGCCTCTGCCGCTTCGCCAGTGGAAGTGCAATGGCAGATGCGGTGGGCACAAGAACCGTGGCTGGCGCACTCAGTGCCAGCAGTGTGGGAAGCAAGCGCCGCCCTGGGTCCTCGACGCGATTGCAGCTCATGGGGCTCGGGAGCCGTCCACTGCGGTACCGCCGAAGCCGGGAGGCAGGTGGGGCGGAGGCCCCCCCTCGACCACCAGAGAAGCGGCTTCGCACAAGGAGGAGGCGCTTCTGCAGGCCAGGAGGGAGCTTGAGCAAGAGCTCCTTGCCAACCCAGCGAAGCATGGCTTGTCGGAAGGACAAGCTCAAGCGGTGTCTGCAACGCTGGTCCCCGTGCACGTCGATGACGAGATGGGGGTGGAGAGTTTGGTTTGGGTAAGAAGTCCCTGAAAGACTTGCACTTGCGCAGGACCAGGAAGGAGAAACAGCTCGAGAAGGCTTCGGAGCGGGTGCAGCGAGCACGTGAGGCGCTGGCGGCCAAGCAAGCGGAGCTTGACCAACAGCTGGAGTACCAGAAGCAGCCTCGTGCAGCGCTGGCGGAGATCAGTGCGGTCATCAAGAAGAAGGAGCTTGCCAGTGCAGTCCCCGTCCTCGAAGAAGGCTTGTGAGGGCAAGAATGATGTCGTCACTTCGAGCGAGCTTCTCGGGTTCATGTCGGAGGTTCTGGGGAAGCTCAAAGGCTCTGAGCACCTGGTCGAGCTGGCGGCGCCGCTCTCGTCCATCTGCACGGCCCTCGACAAAGAGCGCATCGCCCTCGAGGCCGACCTTGCCGAGCAGGCCAGGCAGCTGGAGGAGTCCCGGCAGCAAGCGGCAGCAGCTCAGTCAGTTGACGGCGGCACAGGTGCCGACGGGGGCGATCGTGAGCAGCCTTCTTTCGACGGGGACGACCCTGCGCCGGCAGAAAGGCTCAAGGCAGCAGGGCTCGAAGGCGCGGACCTCTCCGAGCCAGCTGGTCGCGAGAAGCTCAAGAGGATGCAGGAGTGCTTCGTGCCATCGGAGAAGCCTCGGACAGCAACGTGTTCCTAGGTGAGGGGTACCAGAGCGAAGGGCCCCCTCTGAGGAGCTGGACGACTTCGCGAAGTTGGCCTACCTGAAGCAGGTGGGCCTCTCGTCCCCGCTGGCGCTCGAAGCAGTTCTCGAAAAACGGCGGTGAGGGCCAACTGAGCTGGAGAACCTGGGCATCGTGTCGGCCAACGTCATGTTCTGGTCCAAGGCTAAGGACGTGTGTGCATGGCATGCAGAAGCTGATGCAGGCAGAGCGCCCCCTACGGCCTTTCTGTGTCAGGAGCACCGGCTTAAGTTTGGCAAGCAACTCAGCTCGGCCGCGCGATGGGTTGCTCGCAGTATGAGTGAAAGTCAGCTCAGGATTGCCAAAGCTGACAGCACAAGTGAAGGAGTGATGGGGTCGTCTGCTGGAGTTGCTGTAGCGTCATTCTCTCCTGCACTTGGGCGTGATGTTCCCCCCACTCTTCGCGAGGATCTACCTGCCAGTCGTTGCCAAGTGGTTGCGATCAACGCAGGGCTCCCTGTGCCACTCTATGTGTTACCGGTCTATTTGGCGACCAAGATTGGCATGACGGAGCCCGATATCTCCTTCCTGGGAGCGCTGCTGCAGCTGGCTTCCCTGCTCCCAGGGCCATGGATTGCCGGGGGCGACTGGAACTTGGAACCCCAGGATCTACAGGAGTGGGCTCGGGGAGCGGGTGGCGCTGTGGCAGCTGCGGAGGACCCGACCTGTGGAAGCGGGAAGCTGGACTTCTTCATCTCTCCCACAGTCCTTGCAGACATGGGCATGGAGGGCATGCGATCTTGGGAACGCCGGTCAGCGCGCGCACGCCAGTTTTGCTCAAGCTCAGGGAGCTCAACTCGAGGGCGATGGTGACAGCAGCAGAAGCAGCTGGTCCAGAAGGGCTCCCTCTCCGCCTTCCACCGCCGACCGGCGCCTCGCGAGGTCGGCGATGACGAGTGGCACTGGGCGCCAGGCGCGGAGCCGCGGGACATTCAGCAGGCGGTGGAGTGCTGGCTCGTGCGCGCGGAGGACTCCCTGTGTCAGCTACATGACGTATATGAGAGGCGGCGGGGTCGCGCCGCAGGCCTCGAGCTGAAGCGGGCCCCCTTGGCGCAGGAGCGGAATCGGCAGCTCCAGGCCAGATCGTCGCTGGAGTTCAGGCGCGTGGCATCCCTCACATCGGCAGCGAGGAGAGCAGCCCAGCAGAAAGCCTACATGCGGGAGCGAGGATGGTCCAGGTTCTCCTGCCTGAGCCGACAGCCGCAGGTCATCGAGGGCTTTGTGATGCAGGACAGCTTGTGGCCGTCGACTGGAGCCCTGGCCAAGATGACCATCAGCAGGGTGGCCGCCGTGCTGCGGTCTGGCAGCGCGCCTGCCGTTGGGTACATGCTGGAGGCGTTCGACGAGCACCTGGTTGCGGCAGCTCGACATGCAGGCCAACCAGAGGGAGTGGAAGGCGTGGGCATGCGCGGCTGCCCAGAAGAAGGGCGGCAGCGCGGCCTTCGGCCTCATTCGAGCTGGCAATCAGGTCCAGCCGTCCGTCTTCGAGGTGCTGGACGAGGCCCGGGAGCGGTGCGCGCCGCTGGGAATTGACGCCGCCATGGAGAAGCTGAAGCAACAGTGGGGGCCGCTGTGGCAGCATGGGCTTAGGCGAGAAGAGGCGCGCCCATGCATGGCGAGGAGAAGAGTTTGATGCTTCTGGGATGCCCATACTCACGCTCCAGGACCTAAAGAAGGTCGTGGACGCCTACACCGACAGGGCGGGCCTTGGCTGAGACAAGATGCATCCATGGCAGCTGCGGTGGCTGCCGATCAGCTACCAGTTGAGGTTCCTGGATGTGCTGCGTGCCTGGGAGCGTGACCCGATCGACAACCGACTCTTCCTCGTGCCGATCTCGTTCCGGCCCAAGCCTCCGCCAGGGGGAGGAGTGCGACCGATCATGCTCAACTGCCTCAGGCCACGGCTGTGGAGTCGACTCGGGCAGCCGCTGGTGGCGCAGTGGGAGAGGCAGCTGGAAGGCTATTTCTACTGGGGAGGTCTGGGAAAGACGTGTGATCGAGCAGGACATGCTCTCAGCCTGCTGGCGGCGCGCTGCCTGCAGGTGGACGGCGTGGCCTCTGGCACGGCCGCGATCGACCTCAGCGTGTGCTGCGAGCGCGTGTCGCACGATATCCTTCTTCGCGAGGCGAAGGCGACCAGGTTTCCTCTGTCGT